AAAACATGGATAAAAACATGCTAAACAAACCTCACATTCAAAGAGACCATCTGAATACATAAAGATATATCATTATGAAAAAGGTGTTACAAGGGTCTTAAACATAAATATATCAAAACAAAAAAAGTATTCCAAAAATGAAAATCAAAGATTCAAAATCAAAAATCAATTGTTTAATCAATAAATCCAAAACAATTTATAAATTATCAAACATGAACAATGATTGATTAATAACACATATAGATATATTATTATGAAAATGGTGGCTCAATAAAAATAATATGTTATAGATTTATGAAATCAAATGAATGGAAAAATATGAGAATCATGAAAGATATTTTTAAATAAAAGCAAATCATGAGAACCATGAAAATCATGACAATCATGAAAGTCCAAATGAAAGTCAAAACAATCAAATGAAATCATGAATCTAAACCATAATAACATTAAAACATGCTTAATCTACAAATCATCAATTTTGAAGAATAAGTGATCAAGCAACTTATAATGTCAAATATTTATATATTTTATCCGCAAAGGTCGAAAGAATTATGCTTATGACAAAATAAATGAATGTGAATAATATTATTTTTAACAAGAAAAATAATCATGCTAAGCTCTTGGAGCTTGTTTCAACCCATATAGAAATATTTTGCACCCAATAAACATGATATGAAAGAATACCAATGAAAGATCAATAAATCCGGGGGGTTTGCTCAAATATTAACCTCTTCTACAAATTCAAAACTAATTTTTGAGAAACTAGAATTAAAAAAAAAAAAAGGAATCGTACAAATAAAAATATTTTCTTTTATAAAAAATCATTAAAACTTTGTTTTAAAAATCCAAAAAATAAACTCTAAAAGTTTGCTCTTTAAAATCAAAAATGTTTTGGTACCCAAGCACTCTTGGTATCGAAGAGTTTAGGGACATGACCCCTATCAATAAAGTCCAAAACTCTAGGGTTATGATCTCATCTGGGTGTATTTTGTGCACGGGTCCGGTCATATCAATAATCACGCAAATGACCCTTCCTATTGCAATAAATGCAATGAAATGAGTGCACTTGTTTATGTTGACCATTAACTTATGCACATGAAACATTTACAAACAAAAGATGGTCTTTTAAAATTATTTTGCAAATGTGAAACTCTTTTCAAATCAAAACAAAATTTGGCTAAATGACCAAATCTACCACAATAATCATATTTGTACACATTAACATGCTTACCACAATAATCATATTTGTACACATTAACATGCTTATGATGACTATTTAGTGCATGTGTATGTGTATGAGATGTAGAAACTTTATGAGATGCACATAAAATAGTATTATTAGAATGTTTATGTGCATCATAGCAAAATTTTGGTAAATGGCATTTACGACAGCAAATGGTGCATTTATAAACTTTGTTATATATGTGTGCATAGTGTGTATGAGATTTAGAAACATTTGTACAAGACTTAGCACACATATTCATAAGTTTCTTATTATTGTCAATGCATATAATTAGAGTTGAGTCTAAGGAAGAGATGCAATTTTTAATATTATTCAACTCATCATTAGGCACAACATCATTGACAATGGAAGTAGAGCAAACATGATTATTCTTAAATAATGTAAATTCATTTTTAATTGCTTCTATTTCTATCATGGGATTATTCTTTTCATGAGTTAAACTAGCAATAGATGAGATCAAATTTTTATTTTCCAAACTTAACTTATCATTGTTTTCTTTAAACATTATATTTTATTTTACAATGATATCAAATTTAGAAGCTAGCGACTCATGATCAAATTTTAGTTCAACATTCTTGCTTTTTAAATTTATAAAAATTTTATGCAACTTGTTTGAGGCATGCATTAATCTTTCATATGCACATGCGAGATCATCTATAGATAGTTCATTTTCAGACTTTGATTCGCATACTTCACTAGGGCTATCGCATAGTAGCCGTGTGTATGATGAAGCTCCAATAGTAGTACTTGAAGAGGAACCTGCCAGAACACGTTGGATTTCCTCCAAGTTATCATGATGTGTCTTTATATGTTTCCATAATGTATAGGCACTATCAAAACAAGCAAGTTTATTAGAAATAGATGTATCAAAAGCTTTAAGCAAGAATTCTAACAATAGCGTGTTCAAAATAAACATTCTCTTATCATTTGTGCTCCATTTAGATTTATCTAATTTAGGCACAACATATGCACTATCAATAAGTTCCCATAAATCGACATGTTTAGATTTAGCAAATATTTTAAATCTAAACATCCATTGAGCATAAGTAAAATTATTGAATAAATGAGCAATATTAATATCATAGCATAAACTAGGTACACCGTGCATATCCATGATATATTATGCAAGCAAAAAAAAAATCTCAAAACTATATTAGCAAAATCAAAGTGAGGATCTTTGACTCTAGGCGGTTAAGCCACAAATCAAAGAGCACCAAGATCTGATACCAAATAAAATTACCCTAGAGAGGGATGAATAAGATATATGCTAATCTAATCCGATATAAATACTAATTTAAAACTTATTAACAATTATATCCTAGCAAGTATAATATTCAATAACTTATGAGCAATGATATGTAATTAAAACGAGGGCGATATAAACATGTACACACAAATAAGAGATAGTGCACAAATTGACAAACGCAAACACAAGACAAATGATCACGGAGTTTGGTCGACCCACGACCTACGTCTCCGCTCCTCACCCTCGAGGAGAATCTCCACTATCTCACAAAAATACTACACAATCAGTTTTTAATGCTCACCGATAAACGTTTACAACACTCACAATGCAATCACACAACACACCCTCTAAGTGTTGGCCTAGCCCGTGTCGCCTTCCTCAAGTACTCGGATTTACAACCTCTCTCTAGACTTTAAAACCGACGTCACTCCTCTTGGAATCGACCACGTCTCTCCCACCCACTCCTCTTAGTGTCATTGTGTATTACAATGTGATCTCAACAAAAATGCTCAAATAAATGATTTGTTCTCTATTACAAAGAAGAGAACTTTGTTAAGCCCACACTTAAAGATACAATCTCACAATCCCAATATACTATGTATGAAAATACTTAAGCTCAAGTGGGTGTGTGTAGTCAATGAGTATAAATAAAATCAAACTCGAATTAATCTAGCAAATATGAATATGACAATTTAAATATAAACAAGCTAGATAATTGAGTTTAGAAAACTTCTTCAAAAGCACAAAGAGATGTAGATGAAGGAATGAGGCTGAATTCCTCAAACCGAAAATGTAAGTCTCTTCTTTGTGAAAACTTCTTCACACAAAACAAACTTGAAAAACTCTTAAACACTTGTAAAACTTGTTTTAAAACTTTCTTAGGTAGTACAGAAGTTAGGGGGAAAGGGGTATATATAGGTTCATGAAACAAAGCCCAAAAGCCAAGAAAATCCAAGCAAAAAGGCAAAAAACTTAAAAATCACGCAGCCTGGAAAACTAGTCGTTACAGTGCCATCAGTCAACTGATATTGTTCATTAGTCGACTGATGAGGTGACTGTTACAGGCCGCTGATAACCTGCATCGATCTACTGATGGTTTATCAGATGACTAAGCAGAAACTTTCTGCTTTTCCAGCCACTTTTATCAGTCAACTGATGATTTCATCAGTCGATTGATAACGTGCATAGTGCACAGGGTGTATCATGAACAGTAAATATGAACTTTGAAGCCCTTTAAAAAATAGCAAATATATTCCAAAAATTATAATACTTTGGGAAATGTTTATAAACATGAAAATAAACATGTTACAAAAAGAATTTTTTAATTTGCATTTTCTATTTGTGAAAACTCATCATTTTGCAAAATGGCCCAAAATACGAAAACTCAACAACACATGATTTTGACAAAATATTTTTCAAACAAATTTCAACCTTCTTTTGAATGGATTGATAGACTTATAAAAGATATAAATTGATATAAACGAGTCTTTTAAATGGTAAACACATATTGTGCAAACAAACATGATTCCATTGATTTAAAATTGTTAAAGCTTGATTTTGTTGAAATCATTTCAAGCACATACACATAAAACAAATATGTCTGTATATATAATTATATCTATTTGTTTCATATTTATGTGGCTAAACTTGAAGGTAATGAAAATAATGTGTATGTATAATTTGAGCTTTAAGTATAAACACACAAAGTATAAATTTAAACTACAAAACTATTTACCCAAGCTATAGGTCTTCAATGTAGCTTATCTTGGTTGCGGATGAAGCTTGATCTTGTATTTGACTTTGAATTGCACACAGGTGCATTCTGATATCCACCAACTTCCTTTGAATGTCATCGTTAAGCTCAATTCCAACCAACCTCCAACGGATGATCCTTGTGTAGAATACCTAGCAAGCAACTACAAACACTCAACAAATGTTATTAGGAATTGTTTGTTAATCACCAAAATTAGATTAGATGGTAGGCTCATAAACATGAAACCTAACAATAAAGATCTCAACTCAAACACGAATCTTGATTCACTCATCACTATCACCTATCAGCACAGTCAGAACTCATCACTATCACCTATCAGCACAGTCAGAACTCATCACTATCACCTATCAGCACAGTCAGATCACATCATTATTGCTGCTGCTACTAGTGCAGCCTGTACATAGTCTGATTGCACTGGGAGCTGAAAGTAGCTTAATTTTTGCACTTTCTGTTTTGTGAAAGAAAAATCATAATCATGCCTTAAATCATAGACAATTGTTACGAACGAAGTGGCTCTTTACTCTTCATTAACGGTAGAGGTGAAATGAATCCTTATGAACTCTTTTCTTGAAACATGCGCCGGTGAAATTTTAATCTGAATTGCTCTTATTTTATCTTTTAAGTCTTCAACAGACTTCGTAGTTAGCATGAGAATTAAGCTTTTTTTTATATTATTTACAAGTTTTATGCAACTTCATAATATTTCTGAGCAGCACAAACTTGCTTTGCGTAAACAGGGGACCATCTGATCAAGGCACAACTGCTGTGGTCTATAAATCAGGGAGGCGAGCAGAGCTTGTAGCTCAAGGATACAGGATCCATGGCAGCTCAGGAGATCAATGGAGTGATTTGTTGGGCTCACCAATGGCTACTAGGTCCTTCAAGCTTCCAAACCCAATGTACTACATTTCTTGATGTCATTTTATTTGTAACTTGTTAACTGGATAATTTTGCAAATAAGCAATTGGCCCCTGCAACAAATGGCATAGAGTGCAAAATTTCTTGTTTGTAACACATTGAGACAGAATTTTAATCTTGCACGTCCCAGATGGTTCAGGAATTATGATAGTCATAAGAGGCTGTTTGTTTTGGCCCTTTTGGGTTATTTGAATTATAAGACAGAATATTTCGGAGCAGGTGACTTTTGATGTTTTTTTTATTTTGAAACAAACTTTTGATGTAATTTTGTACTTTTTTAATTTTGTACTTTTTTAATTTCCACTTGCTACCTATATGATTTTCTATAAAGAGGGTCCCTGTGCATTAATCTTTTTCCTATTATGTGTCACGGGATAGTGAACAAGATTTAAACTGTTTAAGCATGAACGAGAGCTAAACGAGAGCTGGGGGTGCATTCCGTGCAGATACGGCCCGGATATAATATTTACTATATGCATATCCGCTTAATCATCACGGATACGAATACGGATATATCTTAGTAAAAAAATTTCATATCCATATTCGCTAAAATCAAATACAAATATGAATATGCATGCGGATACAGAACGGATATGCGAAAACTAAATAATATTGAAAAAAATATAATTCATACGATACAAAAAAGTTCATTATTATGTTCATTTTTTTTGAGTAGCTACTATGTTCATTATATTTAAAAAGCAAAGATTAAACATCTTAATTATCAAAATTAATCTCAAAAGTTCATTATTATGTTCATTTTTTTTTTGAGTAGCTATTATGTTCATTATATCTAGAAAGCAAAGATTAAACATTTTAATTATCAAAAATAATCTCAAATACATAATCCAAGAATTAAAACTATTGTACCAATATGACCAATATATATATTCGGACATTTCCGATACGGATCTGAATATTGTACCAATATGACAAATACAGTTTAGCACCCCTAACGAGAGCCTTCTTTATGCTAGACCCATCAAGTTTGAGATTGTGTAAAAAGCGCTATGGCCTATGATACATAAATGTTATACCGAAACTATATAGTTCTCATTTTTCTATTATAGATTAGGGTGATACATTTGCACTAAATCATGCCCAGGTGATCCCTTGCCGCGTTTTCATACTTGAAACATGGTTAACATAAGCCAAAAATCCAAGAGGCAAAATTTCATTTTCAAACGAAAAAAAGGAGGTAGCGATCCGTGAAGAAGACACTACAACCAAGGCATCAAATTTGATAAACTGCTCAGTGCCAACAGTAAATGCTGGAAAAAGAGAAATGAAACCTTGAAGACATCTAAATAATTCTATCGCCTCTTCAGCACAGGGTTATACATTGAGAAACCTGGAAACACAAGTTAAGGCTTAATCCTCCTCGTTCTGTGATTCATCTTTAACAAGCTTGATCATGTCATCAATTCGCAGAATGGTTATGGCAGCCTCTGTAGCAAACTAGTAGAAGGGGGAAAAAACGAAATAAGTCAATACAATAGACTCCATAACAAGTATATAAATGAAAGCTATTATGCTAACTAATCAAGCATAACCGTAATGTGGTTAACTTTGAGTTACCTGAATTATCTTCACTTTGCTCATTGCAGGCTCAATAACCCCAGCTTCAAGATTATTGCGGATTGTACCTTTTGAGAGATCTAGTCCCATACTGCAGGAATCAAGTGACAGAGCATAGGTAAAGGTTGTAATGCATAAGTTTCTTTCTCTAAAACTGAAAACATATCATGTCCTGATGTCCCATCATCCATTTCATTCTGGTAACCAGAATTATATGCTTCTAAAAATACAGTGGGGAAACTTGAACTAATATTCGATGACTTAAATCTAGTTGTACATAGATAATCTCACAGATGATACATAGGTTGCATGACAACATGATGTTCCAATTACTGAAGAAATATAGATTGTCAATGTTTCTCCATGACAACCTATAGAGAACCAATGTCTCGAAGCAAACACAAAAAACGATCTAAATATAATATACTTGGACGTGTTGATCCTTTATAGATGTGCGTAGGACACTCCGTGTGATGTATCCTCATAATTGATGCCCCATTGATGTATCTAACACATTGATAGATTTCTCCAGCCAGGAGGAGTAAAGGTGTTGAGTGTATGATGATGCATTCACAATTTTATTTGATTTCTAGATGCACTAATTATTTAATTTTATATAAATCATTCAAATTCCTAAGCAAGAATATAAGTGTTCACATGCTGATTCAAATGCACATAAATTGTTCTTTTTGTTCTTGTACCTGTGATGTATAAAGCAATGTTGAGAATAACACCGCATAATGTAATGCTCACCTCCCGACAACATAATGACGTAATGTAAAACATGGGTTAGGTGTTTTATTATTTATTTAAAATATTTAATAAGTAAAAAAATATTCACAATGACTAATAAATAGAATCATCAGATTTTTATGATATAACATTGTAAATATTAAATATATCATCACAATTACTCAGCAAAAATACACCATAAATGCTTAACAATCAACCAAAAAACACATGTACTAGAAATTTGAAACTAAAATCAAAGAAAACACGTAAATTCTATGTAGTTATTTCAAAAGATTACCTAAAGTTTGTCAGGTTACATAATGTAAAATATCAAGTTATGTGACAGGTATTTCCACACGATGGTATCAATATCTTAGATCACCTAAATTCTATGTAGTCATGTAATCAGTATCTAATACTATATAAAAATATGTAGCATTTTCCCAAAAACCACGTTTAAAATAGGGTCATTTCATAAAAACCACATTTGGTTTTCAATTTAAAAGGCTTTTGTTGCAATAAACCACTTGAGCCCACTTTTTAGTTAAGTTTTTAGACCCCACCCAACCTCAATTCAGGATCATCTTCTCTATTATACTCGTATTTAGCAACTAATATTATAGCAAAACCAAGAAAGCTTCGACTTAAAAGTCAGTCCTTGTGGTTTTGCAACAAAAAACCGTTTATAGGTGGTTTACATGTAAAGTGACAATGAAAGGTGATTTATAAACTAACCCTCTATTAAAAGTGGTTCTTAGGGGGGAAACCTAAATATATCTACATAATTTTGCCATATATTCCATACTTAAGTCCTAGATTTACATAACTTATCACATTACAGTGTAGATATTGTGTCATGTCCATATCCCATATTTGTATCCATGCTTCTAAGATTATAAGGAAACAAGATGTGGATACAAGATGGATCAAGTATCTACATAAGATTTGAAATATGCAGAAAAGAACTATGCACAAAGCAGGTTCTGCTGATTAACTTGTTGAGATTTATGAATTTGAGTTTGTTTGCATAGACCTAGTGTGAATGTTGCTCCTGCATAGAAATGATTGGTGTTGGTTTAAATAGTGGGATCCGCCAAAATGTTTGGGTGGATCGACTCCTTGGTTCAAGCAACCAATCTCTTATTAATTCTATATGTTACGGGATAGGATTCATATCTAAAATTTGAATAGAGATAATATTCTTCCTTACTCTATATATACAGAAGTGAGGGTTTTTATTTTAGATAAGGGGGTGTTATTCATTGGTGTAAATATTGGGATAATGGGATAATTTTTGGAACACTACTTTTGAGTTTGTTTGCATAGACCTAGTGTGAATGTTGCTCCTGCATAGAAATGATTGGTGTTGGTTTAAATAGTGGGATCCGCCAATATGTTTGGGTGGATCGACCCCTTGGTTCAAGCGACCAATCTCTTATTAATTCTATATGTTACGGGATAGGATTCATATCTAAAATTTGAATAGAGATAATATTCTTCCTTACTCTATATATACAAAAGTGAGGGTTTTTATTTTAGATAATAAGAGATAATATTCTTCCTTACTCTATATATATATATGCAAGTGAGGGTTTTCCATTCAGAATTACAGTAAATAAACAATAATAGCTGTCATCTCCTCTCCCATTCGAGTTCGTGTTAACAGGTTAGTAGCAGGGTGATGTGCGAGGGCTTCTCGCCATATTAACGGTGTCCTCGTCCTCTAGCCGTTGTTCAAGATTGGCATATCAATCCTACAATTAAAGATCCATACAGTAATCCCTAAACTACTTTTTATGATTACTAGAAAGCATGCTAGGATTTTTTAAATTTCCACTGTGCATAATCTAGTTGTAGATTGCCCCATTGCAAGCGAAGTAGTCATCCAGATTCTATAATTGGTAAAAAGAATTTAAACAAATCAAGTCAAACAGAAACTGATACATTGAGGGCTGACAATCGTTATAAAGGTTATCAGGTTGATTATAGCCACATTTATGATGTAACAAAAGACTTGGAACTAGTAAATACTTACGTACAAAAAGCGATGGACAATGTAAATGGACAAATATATAATTCAAGGAATTTAATTTTTGTTTCTAAACATAAAGATATCATCAAAGAGGAAAACAGGAAAAATAAGTACCAAGTATTACTCAATAAATAGTAAAAAAAAACAATTTAAAGTTCCACAATACCATTCCTCAACCAAAAAAGTTCCACAATACCTTGAAAAATGTTGCTTATCTGCCTTTATTTGAGCAGTATGGTGATAAGCCCTGAGTTTTGCAACCAACTCGGTTGCATCCTTTGCAGCATTAACAGCAAGTACCTACATGAGGCCCAAAATGACCCTTATTAATAAAGTAAGCAAATGAACATAACAAAACCAAACCAAGCAATATAACCTACTGATACCTTAGGAATAACCAAAAGAGATTCAGCAAACTCTGCAATTGCTAACTGCTCTCTGGAACCTAATGTAGTTGCAAAATACTCTAGATATACAGATAATGCAGACTCCACTGCCCCACCACCAGGAACAACCTGCATCATCAGCTCAGATGAGTAATCTGATACTCCAAAAAGATGACAAATAAAGAGGAATTTTGACATCTAAAAAGACTGCAAACTTTACAAAAATTAAATTAGTGCTATCTATGTCGTAAATAAGATGGATCCGGAAACACGCCGGAATTAGAAAAGAAATTACCTACAATGACACCTTAAATTATTTGTTTGAATAAAAAAAAGACACGCATGCGTTTCACATATGAAATTAAAGTTTGGCAAATTTCACAATACCGACAATGACCATAAATTATTTGTTCGAATAAAAAAGAAAAAGAGACGCGCATGTGCTTCACATATGAAAACTTAAAGTTGGGCAAAACCCCCCCCCCCCCCTGAACTTTGGGGTTTTTCACATAGACCACCAGAACTTTGTTTACCTCACATAACCATAAGCATAACCCCCTTGAACTTTGGGGTGTCTCCCAAACCCCCTTGAACTTTGAACT